GCGCGTTCTGGGTCCCTCGGGGTCTCGAGGAAACACGAAACGATCTCGGTTCTGGTTATTTAGCGCTCAAAATAGACACTGCGCAGTGATAATGATCGGAGTGTCTATTTTGCTCCGATTTTAACGAGACGTTAGTTCAGGCTTTTGGCTCGCTCTTCTCCATTCCCCGCCAATTTTTACCTGAAAATCAAATTCCGTCCCTAATAAAAATATTAAAAACAGCAAGTAGGAATATTACTGGACGATTGATGAATATGTCATTCGCTTTCGAAAACCCAGAGCCAGCACGTCCACTCCCACTTGCAATCCAACGCAATCACGGGACTCGTTTGCGGGTCGACTTGGATTTTCTATTAACGCTTGACCGGCATGACGACTGTCAACTACATTTGCCTCCAATTCTGTCTCCGTCGGCGCAGGATCCTCGCGTCCATTGGGACACCTACCTATCGGCCCGCTCCCGTTCTCGCCATTTCTTATCGCTTTTTTCTTTTTTAGCAATGACACCATCACATCTACTGCGGCGACAATAAATCTGCCTACACGGTCTTACTGGAGGTAGAAACAAATGGGTGCATAGACCAGGAAAATAGCATACTGGAAGAAAACGCCGCAGACTCTCCTGCGCGCAGCCATCTTTGTTTAGAAGGCGTTCTGAGCATGCGCAACAGCTCTCCTCCGTGGAATATCAGACGCGCTTGTTCACACCTCTTTGACTAGCCATTTTTCGCCCGGGTACTAAATGTTGCAGAGGTGTGCTTCCGTTCCTTCCCGACAACACCAAGGTCCCAGATCGCGTTCGATGACTGAAATATGAAAACGGTGAAAGTTTTTCTCGGAAGTGCCCGCGGCGTCCTCCTGTTCAGACTGATGTCTACATCCCAGCTCGCCCTCCCTCCCTTCATCTCTAGCTGTCGATAGCCACGTTTTGAGCGTGACGCGTAGAGCGAAAACAGCTCATCATCAAAACATTCAAGAACCTTTTGCATCTGTCATCTCGTTTTAGGCCCCAACGACGCGTGGCTTTCGAACGACGTGTGAATATGCACGCTCGGCTGCGCAGCCATCGATGTTTGCTGACTGTTTTCTAGGTCGCGACACGCCCTATGGAAGGGAGCTCAAAAGCCCGTCTTTGCAATACCGTTGGCTTTATTTGTTCCGGTGCATCTTTCGCTTGGACGTTCGTTCCAATGACGCGCCGCAGGAGCGGAGGGATCGAGCGGCCGTGGCGGTGGTACTACGTACGCGACAAATGTAAAAAATCCGAGGCGCAGCGACGACGTCGTTTGCGCGAAACCGCCGACACCCGGGAGGAAATATTGGCTCTCCGAAGACGACAGTATGTGGACCGTTGCGCGGCTGGAAATCCCATTTTTCGCCGAGTCCGAATCCCCTACGCAAACCGCATTGCGTCGGGAACTGGCGTAGTGACGGCAACGATTTCGGCGTCATTTTTAAAATGTACGTTTAGGCGCTCCATTGGGAGTTGGCGGGGGCCGCTACAAATCAGTCCTGGAAACATTTTGTGAAGCGAAGACAGCCGAGGCCGGCGTCTCGAGTGCGCGCGAGTGCGCATGCCCGGTCCGCCTCGTGCGCGCTGAGCGGAGCCAGTGCACTCGACGCGGCGTCCCGTGGCGGAGGTAAATGCGGAAAATTTATATTAAGTAACGGGCGGGAGATCGTAATCGCTGGCAGCGACGCGCGCCAAGAGCTGGCCCCGTCTCGGCGAAAGCGCCGTCCGTCGACTCGGAGAACCGCCGCCCAGGAACGCGGGAGGTTGGCCAGACGGGCCCGACGAACGGCTCCGCATCGCGGCAGGCTCACGCCACTATAGAGTGGAAGCGGTGCTGGCGGGGCTGGCACTCGCGTCGAACCGGCCTTATCTCATCTCGTCGACACCCCCAGGTCGCGAAGAAACCTCTTAAACCGCGCTCACGCTGATAATACGAAAGACAGCCTCCAAACCCTGTACGAGGCGTGTTTCTTCCCGGTATGGACGGTCACATTGGCCATACAAAACATATCTGCAGACGTCTTCGAAGCTGTACGAAGCAAACATGTGCGGCCTGTCTGCTGGAAGTCATGTCTTCCGCTAACTCCGTGTGTTTTGTATGATTTATGAGCGGTCCCTGCGGCTTCATGAGCCTCAGAGCGGCCGACGTTTCGTTGCAGGCAAAATCCCGACCAAGTTTCCTTTTTTGTGAAATGTGAACTGCATTATTGGTTTTGTTCCCTTCGGCGTTCTTCGCAGCTGCAGCACCGACAGCCTTCGGGATTTCTTTTGTCTGCTCCGTGGCTTTTCGTTGGCAGTCGCCGTACGCGATGAAGGACAACTTGAACGCTTTCTCGGCGCCTCGTCAACTTCGGAAGGGGGCATTCTTGCGAACGGTTGGTATTCCGAAAAGAGTTTGGAGATTCGCTGGGAGGAGGATTATCTTGGGGTAAAACGGGCACTCGTTCGGTGTGCTTCACCGCCGAGTCAGGCAGCTGTTCGATCAAATCTCATGATGACTGACGGCGGCGACGTGTAACGAATATATCGTGGGCCACAGCGTGGGCCAAGAAACAGGGCCACAAACAACACCAACGACCAAAACAACGGGAAGCACGAGCGATTCGGAGCACGCTTACGCTGTGCTCGTCCTGGCGTTTGATCGGAGCAGCCCCAGTGGAACCCGAGACCTCCGTTGTTCCGCTGGAAAGGCTGGAGCATCAGGGGACCTGGGTTCCACTGGGGCTGCCCTGAAATGGCCCCCGAACATCGTGTCGGACAATTTGGCTGCACCGGCGAAACGGCTCGCAACACTTCCTCCTGACTCTACAACCTTCCTCGCGGTTGGAACAGGGATCGCGTTGTCGCTGCTTTTTTAAACCGACGGACCTCAGCGCGCAGTAGCGACCCGGTTCCATACAAAATTGACACGTGCCTTCGTACAACGACGGCAACTACGGCAAGCAGGAAGAACAGGAACGGAAAGCAAGTAAAGTAAAAAGCGATCCTAAAACAATATACATAAAAGATGGGGGGAAAATTAAGAATGACAATTCTTAGGATGCAGCCGCAGGTTGGGAAAGGGGAGGGGGGGGGGATTTGACAGATGGTGTAAAACCGTAATCGTTTGTTTGCGCAGTTCTATCTTCTGTACACTTTTGAACTGCATATTGCTGTTTTACAGCAGGTTCAAAACGCGAAATTGGCCGAAGTTCACCAGTGACATGTTGAATGGCAGGAACATTCCAGGAGACTGACGAGAAATTGTCCTTCCCTTGTTCGTTTTGCGGAATCGGTTCGGCAGTGCGCCAAGGGACGACTTTTGCATCGGCCCTTCGATGGCCGACCTGGATGGGCGACCAGGGAGGCCGGGTTCAGGGACCTCTGGCGACTTTGTGCGCGACCCATGGAGGAGCTCCTTGGAAGCTTTGTGGTCGCGAGCTCCGCTTTGGGAGGCTGCGGCGCGGTGCCGCGGCGCCATTTGCATCATAAATGGCCCCGGCCAGGTGGAAGACAAAAGGAGGGTCACGCGTGAGCAGGCCCGTGCACACGCGCGCGGGAACCGACGGATGTGCAACCGGCGCAGGCCCCCGCTCCCGCCTTCCGCCCGACGCGATTAAACGCTTCCGGAACCACGTGACTGCACCAATGACGTGCCCCGCCGTGCGGCAGCGCCCGAGCCATTTGCCGTTTCCGCGAAACGCCCCAGTCTTTCCGCGGGAGGCCATTTGCATGCGCGCCAAACAGCGGCGAATGAGCGAGGCCCGGGGGATCGACGCTTGACCCGCCGCCCCGGCCCGCTTGACTGCTAAGGGAAAACCTCGGGGGCCCTGCGCAACGCACCGCCGCCGGAGCCCAGAACTTCCATCCGGCACGCGGTAGGCCAGGGCCGCATAATCGCCGCTTTGTCTGGAGATGAAGGAGTCTTCATACGACACGGCGCGAATAGCGATGGATGGATGGATACAGATCAACTTTCAAAACAGGGTGGCGACTTGCGACATATATAGCTCGGGGGGATTTCTGTGGCGCCCTCTTACATTGGCATCGTTCCATGTGGCCACCAACTTGACGGTAGGGCGATGATTCTCGGCTTGGAACAAGCACGCTCAAGAAAAAGGTGTCCCACATCTTCGGCCGCTGGACCAGAGGTACTGTCTGGGAATGGTGTTCGAGGCTGTCAGAAACTGCCTTTTTATGGCGACATTCGGGAGCAGCCTGCGAATTGACATATCGAAAGGCCTTTGGAGGTCTGTATTCCGGGAAATATTGAGATGAGGATCCCATAGCATAGAGACGAGACGTTCGCGCAGGTTAATTAAACCGTGGACATCCCTGTGTAGACAATCTTAAGGGGGTCTTCGTTAAGGAATCGTGCATTGACGAAAGGAATTAAAACTTGTTGCGAATCTGGGCTGTCATGTCCTAGTGTAGCGAGCCCATCAACAGAAAAAGGAAAGCGCCGCTTCCTGGCGGCCGTTCGCTCAGGGATCGAGCCTGAGCGCTCGACCCTTCATGGAGCGACGAGTGCTACTGCGCGACGGCCAAAACCCACTTTCGTCAATACTGCGACGCTACTGGAGTTACAACAAAGACGCAAAGCTGATACTGTGCGAAGCTGGAACTGAATCAGATAGTGATTTACCGCCAGATAATCTCTTCCGCTAGAGTGTCTCCTAACAAATATTGGGGCATTCAGAGGAAGCTTTGCTCCCCGGCAATCTCGGAGGCCAGGAGGGATTGCCTGATTACCCGAGCGTACGGGAACGCAAACAATAAAGGGGTGTCCAAACAGGACACTACAAAACGCACGACTCCGACAAATCGTGAAAATGGAAGCGGACACGCCCGCTTCGCGCCCGCTTCAATTTTCACGATTTGTCGGAGTCGTGCGTTTTGTAGTGTCCTGTTTGGACACCCCTTAAGACGCGCCGGACGTGTCCGCGAACTGTCTTGGTTGCCCGTCAACCCGGCGAGACGCCGAGGCCGGCCGAGAGAAGGGACTCACGGTGCGAAGGCCGGTAGCCGTGCACGGCCCTGGCGGCGGGGTTGGAGTAGTACGAGGATCCCGGGGAGCCGTCGAGGGAGTGGAAGAACATGTCCATGTCCTCCTGGGCGAGCACCCCGGGGTCCGGCCTCCCGCCCGGCGGGCCCTCGTAGCCGGACCAGGGCCCGGCCTGCTCCTCCATGGCGTCGCGCGTCGGCACCGCGCGCCCGCACAGCTGCGCACACGCCTGCGACAGGCCGCTCACGCCGCCGAAGGAGCCGTGGCCGCCGCCGCCGCTCACTGACGACGGCGCCTGCGAAGGACAGAAGCACACAGTCAGACACGAGCAGAGGAGGATGCCCGGACACTGTTCTGCTCCCCCAATGAGCCCATACACCGCCCAGGGCGCCGAAGAAGACCCTCGGCGAGACGGCCGCTCTGAGGCTCCCGGGGTTGCCTTTTCAGCTGCCCCATTTCCATCCACTCATCGTTCAATTTCACACCACCACACTTAGGAAAAAATCTCTCTACAAAGAACGCTCATCTAGACCGCTTAAACCTGAAATACAACGTTGTATGAGCAGTCTTGAAAGTCACGGGGCTCATACATTAAAGACTCTGTTATTCTCCGACATTACGTAACGTAGCGCAGAACGTGGGCCTTGATTGGCCGGCGAGCAGGAGCTCGATATCTGCGTCAATATCTGCGTGCGTTCGCTACGCTCGACGTCGGAGTCTTTTAGAGCCTTAAGACTGCATTCTCTGAGGAAGGACATGCCGGAAACAAAATTCGCTTCATCCATGTCTGCAGACAGTTAAATGTCTGCAGGCTGCATGATGTAACTTAAAACCCCCGCACGATTCTCAGGGCGAGAGCTGGCCAAAACTCCAAAAATAGGACGTTCGCCGGTTTACAAGTTGAGCCCTCCCCGTTTCAATCTGCATCGTACACCGGCGTACGGTCGTGGGAGGCTACTGCGTGATGCACGTTAAAGACCCCAGGCTAGCGGTGGGACTGCACTGGCAAAATGTCTCCTCTACAAGTCGCCCATTGGGGCTGACACACTTTCCGCTGGCTAAACAAACACGGCACAGTGTTTACGAGCAACACGCACCACAAACAGTTGTCCCATACACTGAATGTAGAAATACTGACGCAACGAAGCGAGACTGGAATCACGATCCTGTCGAAACTCTCCATCGCGGGTCTCTGCAATTCCCAGGGTTACAGGGAGGTTACTCTGTTCTCGTCAGTATTTTGCATAAAACCTAATATCCCGACGCTAAAGGAATGTATCTTAGAGTCAAGCTCATTGGGAATAATTATTCCACGTGTTCCCCAAACAACCTACATTAAAAGGATGCTGAACCAAACATTTTAATGTCCATAATAAGTGGCGCACGATCTTTCCACGAGCCAGCAGCCGCCCGTGTGCGTGAGCGCACGCAACGAAATTGACGTCATGATCTTCCCGGACAGCAGAAAGCGCAGACCGCATGGTGCGTTTTTCTGCACGCGAAAACGCGACGCGCTATGAACGCTCGCGCGGAAACTGAGGCGGAGGCACCCGCATGCAGACAAAGCCAAGCACCGCCGGCGGCGCGTTATCAGCGTTGCCAGATAACAGAATTCTCAACACGCGATGTAAATGTCGACGCAAATACTACAAAATGAGAATTAAATGAACAAATAAGTAAATAAAGCGGGATTGTGTGTCAAAAGAGAGACCTTTTAAATTTTTATATGGAAAATAAAAGTGTTTTTGAACACTTTGAATTGGGTTCAATACGAAGCAGCGTACTGTGCAGGATCACGTGATAGTTCGACCGACCCTCATCGGGCGAGAGCCGCTTCGACGCCTGGGCTTGTTCTGGGTCGGCTAGAAAAGAGCGCTCCCGCGCAAACGCGCGCCCGCGCGCAGGAAATGACGTCAGTTTGACGCCGACGCGCCTGAATCGCGAACGTAGGTCCGCTCTTGGAGCACATCGGACGCGCGCCAAGTATCGCAAACTGACTCGCCGCCGACCATGAAGGTCCCCTAAATAAAGAGACAGTGATGCACGTGTGGTCCCGAAAACATTATTTTTCCCTCTTGGTACGCGAACGCAAAAGGAGACAAGGGACCCAGGAGGGGGCGCTGTCAAGATCAGGCCGGCGTTGCACGCCGGAGGAAAGAAGAAACTCGTAGCGGGGTTGAACGCTGTCCGCGTCTGACGTGCTTTTGTGTGTCCCTCACCTCCTTTTGCGTTCGCGTACCAAGATGTTTAGCCAACACGCTCTCACGATTCTATGTTCATGATTTGACGCTGTCAAAACGTCGTATTCCCTTTCTCCTTACGACCTTCTGCGGAGGATGCTAGGAGCTATCGGGGCAAATGCAGCCCCATGTGAGTGTTAGGTGTTACGAAGACGGTGCGTGTGTCTGTTACACACGCACACAGAAACACACATACATACACATAATATGTATACCATTATTAACATAATTACCACCAAACAAGATTAGTATCAAAGATAGCAAAGAAAAAATAAGCTAAATTGTACAATCGCCTTATGCTCTAACTATGCAGAGAAATACTTAGGAAAACGTGTAACGAAACCAGAACGCACCTCTTTTCCAGTCCCACTGATAATGTTTATGTTCAATTCACTAGAATAATTTAGGCGACGCGGTAGTGTAATAGCTATAATAGCTGGGAAAGAAATCACTTGGTCCCAAGTCCAATCCTTGTCGGAAGTATCCTTGTATTCGTGTTTGAATAATGACCCCTATCTGCTTTACACCTACGGTCAACGGTCGAGCGCGACCGTCGAGCCGCGTTACACTTTTTCCTGACATGAGCGCTTAAGCACAGACTGCGTTCAAAAGCATCTCGCGACGGAAGGGTTTCAAGCACCGCCATAATTGCTGCTTTCATACACGTGGCACGGTCAGGGTGTTCAGAAAACCCGAGGCGAACCAAGAATGGGCTCGAACTTTCCAGAAGAGCAAAGGTTGTCGAAAGAAAAAAAGAACCGGAGTATAGCGAACCTGGTTCCTCCGCGTGGTAGCCACCTGCGTTGCCAACTCGGCCACGCACGACCATGTGTGGGGGGAAAAAATCTCTACTTCTTTTAATAAATATAGTTATTTGATTTATGTAAGATTAATTTGATTTATATAAGTGTAGCTAGAACGTAGTAATTCTCTACCAGTAGGCGTATTTGGAACATAGCAGACTGATTGATCTATCCGTTCGATCGCTGAAAACAAGGCGGAAGCAGCTCCGTAAATCTAACAGTTCAATGAGCCACTTCTTATTCGTGCAAATCCAGCCGTACAAGATCAAAAACAGCTTACTTTGTTTAGTTAACGAGAAAAGTTGTATTTGTCTTTTCTTTCGCGTTCTGATTTGCTCGCAATAGGATATTACCTAACTCACGTACGAAGTGGAAGGTAGAAGATCTTGAACGCTCGAGCACCGCTTTTTGCTCGTGTTCAACTTATTTGAAATATTTCTAGCACGATTATTTATTTTTATTTAAATGAAAAGGAAATGCACACGGAGAGAGCCTATTATAAACGAACGGTTAATATAAAATCATATCTTAATTAATATTTTTCGGGAAATGTTCATTTAAATCATCGTAGCAAAACCGGTGTGACTTAAATCACGATTCAAATCATGATTTTTATTCGAGACTCGAAGGATTGCCTCGAGTGATTTTCATATTGTGCTGGTGTTTAAACGGCGTGCGATATATTTCTCCGATACCGATTTTCTTTGTACTTCAGCGTAGCAATAATTAGAAGGCATTGTCACATTTAAACAGAATCGTGGCATACTGTTTAACTGCGAACCTGCTAACCATGGAGTCTAAAACGATGCAGCTTGGAACATCAAATTTATAGTGTTTACTGCCAAGAAGGAGACCTCTAGTTTCATGCTTAATTATTAAAACATTGTTTGAGCCACGGCAGAGCTAGACAGCGGAATTCCCTTATGGCCTTTGCTTTCGATTTAGAAGCAATGGAATTTTTTTTACCGCGTGGGGGCGCGACAACGCAACCCCTCAGAGTTCTGCTTGAGCCATCCTGAACAACAGATGGTTCAGCATGGTCCCGACCACCGCGAATGAAACTGTGTGCCAATGTACAGTTAATGTAGTGCGCTGACAGAAATACTTATATATATATAATATGTATATATACTTATATATATATATATATATATATATATATATAACGGGCATGGTGGCGGGAGGCCAAAGGCGTGGGTATAAAACTGAGAAGAAAAAAAACCCTTAGTGAAAAACAGCAACAACGGACGATTTAATCTTCGACGTTTCGGCCGGAGTCCGGCCTTCGTCAGGAAGACGAAGGCCGGACTTCCTGACGAAGGTCTTCTTGAATAAGGCCGGACTCCGGCCGAAACGTCGAAGATTAAATCGTCCGTTGTTGCTGTTTTTCATTAAGGGTTTTTTTCTTCTCAGTTTTTATATATATATATATATATATATATATATATATATATATATATATTATTATTATTATTAATATTATTAGAAGACGAAGAAGTGTTTTGCCGAAGTCCCTGCGTGCAGGCGGCCTCAAGGCCTGCAGCTCTAGCTAGTCTGCGAATTCCTCCAGTTCAACCCCGGAGCCCAGAGGCCTACACGGTGAGATCAGGCTGTCTTAGTAGAACGAGTTGAAGCGCTGTAGGAGGGGCCGAGGACGCAGCGGCCCCACCCAGCTGCACTGTCAGAGAGAAACTACCCCGCATTGTGAAGGAAGGCTCGCCTTTTCATTCGAGCCAGGCCTTGGCTATATACGTGAAATTTCATCGGTGAATTTGTTCAGATAAGACTCAAAGAAATCGCAGACATTCGCGTAAATAATGAACTTCACTCGCAGCTCAATGTTAACCGTGTCGTTGATTCACGCTCATGTTAAAAGCCAACGTTTTAGTTCTCTCTAGGTTTTATTGTCTTCATAGATCTAAAAAGTGACCTTGAATATTAACATACCAGTTACGGTTATCTACGCGTACTACTTGATACGCAGCATGACCCTATAATGTGCCGTATCCATTGTTTCTGGAAAAGTAAGTCGGGGTTAATGTAGCAAAACGCTTTGGGCAAAAGAAATATACCCAGGATAACATAATTATACAGAAAAGTTCGTAAAATGCATTCATTTCGGATTTTGTACTAATGTCATGCTTCCGCGTAAATATTATCAGGCGACTTTATATATTTTTTTCTATGCCGTTTGATAACAGGACTAAACGCATTTGTAAAGAACCAGTGTATCAGCTGTGACTTGTATTTAC